ACTATTTTTTTTGTATTCAACACCGAATCAAATAAAGGCAACGGCCCATGGAAAGAGACGCATGAGAGATTAGCACATAAAGAAAATACCAGTTTCCGAGTCAATGAATAACGTCTCGCTGTGTTGCATATAACAATCATGGTGTCACGACACGGTTGAATTAAGCGATCGTTAATTTCTAGGTTTTTGGAGTTATTGGTCTCATCTTCAATTTTGTTAACGTGCCTTGTTTTGATTTGAAAGATATATACCCATCTATATTGAATATACGATCAAGGTATTCGCGATTGAAGAAGAGAGGGGTTGCCTGGTGTCAGAGGTAAATCTAAAGAGAAAATGGTTGCCAAAGTTTGATGATTTTCAAAGCTTGACTGTTCTTGAAGGCAAACGAGGCAGGGGTAGGCCTAGAGCAACCTACTAGGAGGATCTTAACAAAAATGGATTACGGGGAAAGATCAGGGTAATGTAGCTTTTTTAAGAGCATACGAACAAAGGAATGAATGGAGAACCATGATCGCCTACACTGTCTGCTGCAGATTCGGCACTTGATAATGATGGTGATGACGATGGTGATGATGATGACGATGATGATAATGATGATGCAGATAACCAAGCTGAGACAGACCTGTATAAAAAACCTACCGACTCCAATCGTTACCCCCCTCCTTCTTCAAACCATCCCAAACATATATTTCGTTCTGTGGTCTATAGTGGTGCACTTAGACTCCACCGCATTTGTTCCCGTGAAAATTCTTTTAAACAACGGATAGAGGAATTCACAGCCAACCTTCTTCACAGTGGGTGCCGCAAAAATATAACACCGATTATCGAGAAAGTTAGCAAATTGAACAGCATAACCCTTCTGACCTACAAACCCCTTAGGCCCAAACAGAAAAGACCATTTTTCTTCTCAACTCATCACCAAAAACTACCTAATGTACATAAAATCCATAGCGAACACAAAAGCATCTTGGAAAAATCAGACAAAATGAAAGCCTGTTTCCCCGACCCTCCTCTGATTGCACTTCCGACAGCCTCCCAATCTTGGCAACCTCCTCATTCGCACTAGAGCAGTAACACCCACGTCCTCACCTCTGATAAACCCACGTTCCCCGCCTCAAAATTATCCTTGTCAAAAACCTAGATGCAAAACATGTGTTTACATGAAAGTGACCAACTTTGTACAAGGCCCCCACTCAAAAAGAACATTTTCCCACTGCATCACTTGTGAAACCAAAAATGTAATCTACCTCATATCTTGTAAAGTCTGTCCAGCTCAATATGTAATTCAAACTACCACCACAATTAGAGCTAGGTTTAATAACAATAGGTATTCAGACAAGAAAAACTCATGCACACCAGTTGGCCAACATTTCAACAGTCCTGGTCACAATGGAGCCTCCGATTTGCAACTTCAGGGTATTGAAATAGTCCAATATCTAACTAAAGAAAAACTCAATAAAAGAGAATCAAAGTGGATTTGGAACTTAGAGTCTCACAAAATTTTCACTGGCCTTAACATCGACGAGCCACATTTTAAGGACCCTAAATTTACAACGTAACGCAAATCACCCCTTGTATTCCAGTAAACCCCTCCCTTAGGCCCCGCCTTTCCGTTATATTCCTTTCCTCCTCGCACTTGTTTCCCCTACAACTCTCTTTCTCTCTCTCTACTACTTCTTGCCTTCGTGTTCCCCTTTGTCTGGGCGTTTCGATTTAATTTTGTATTCACCGCACCCTTCCGTTATTATAATATGGTCGCTTTTAAGCACAAGGGGGACTATCCCGTAAAATGCTGTTTTGAGAAAATCGAAGGTAAAGTTTTTGCCCCTTGTTCAGTTTCTCGAAAAGACACGGAGTTTCCTCTATAACCAAATAAATATAAACACCAATGAAACCAAACTTCTCCTATAGATAGGGCAAAGCCTACTTTTGGTGTAGGTCAATATTTCTTGAAACCCCCGAAATCTTGGTTAGCCCACGGGTCCTTAAAAGCGACCTTATATTCCTTACTTCCACACACCTGGCCTTAGTGTTCCCCTTTCTCGGGCCTTTCCGATTTTTGTTCACCGCTCGTTTAATGCGTTGTGACATGAATGTACGCACTTTGGTTTTCACAGCCATTGTAAACAGTAGGTCAAGTCATTTATATTTTGACTGTTCCCGATGAAGCCCGTTGAAACGTTGAACTTGTGATTAAATATTTTGGAAATACTACCAGGTACTATCTGCTGTACACAATAATGATGATGATGAATTAAATCTGAATTTTACATGGGTGGGACCTTTCACCAGGCACGTACACAAGTTAATACATGAGCTAGAATACTTTTTAGGCAGACAGACGATAGTGAACTAACGAAAGCGCCCAATCGTAAAACTATAGGTTTTGGTAGCGAAATGCAAGATGCAAAAGTATGACAACATCATAATCATTTCGGAAAACGTGAGAACAGATTCATTAGACAATGAACGTAAACATCCTAAAAAATTAATGGCTTTTCATTTCTAATTCATTTTCGTTAGCTGTGGATCAAAAGCACCTGCCTGACTTGAGTTTGGAGAAGCACCTATGTTTCATCCAAGTTTTCACCGTCTTTTTTAAAATTTGTATTTTTAGCTTTCTGTGGTGACAAGTTAGCTTCAGAACAGTTTACGGTTCCAGTTGTTTTGCCTTTAGTAAGCACACTACGGCACTTGCAACACAATTAGGTCATAAGTGGTTAAGTGAGTAGTGAGTTTTCAAGTAATGTCAACCAGGTGTTGGTGACATGGGGGTCACTGGGGTGTGTCCATGAGCAAGACACGGCAACCCTTACTCAAAAATACAGAGCGCTGCACCGTGGTGACCGGGAGTGGCATGTTTGTAAACTGTTCTGTATTTGTGTAAAATTGTGTATTTATGTATGTATTTATGTATTATATTTATGCATGTATTTATGTATGTACGTATTTATAATTATGTATTTATGTATGTAACTGTATGTTTGCTATCGTAAAACAAAGTGCCCTTCCGGGACAAATAAAAAGTGTAATTTATTATTTATTATTTATTTATGAAGTGCCGATGGTGAAAGGGTATAGGTTTCATGCCCCTATCAGTACTATTAGGGGACCTCCATGTTAAACGTCCGTCTCCGAAAGGACCGAGCCATATTAAACATTTATATAACGTGCTTTTCGCAAGGACACAACGACGGACCGAGCTGAGGCTCGAACCCCCAAACCACAATAGAGAACCTGCCAACCACCCACTATAATACTTCTACATTCCTCCATAAAAAGCAGTACATAATTTATTATAATAGTAATATGAGGAGAGTTACTAAATGTTCAAGTTGAAAGGAATAAAGTAAATGTAATCGAAAAGGTAGTGCCAGTAAATACAGTAACAAAAAGTAACACGAAAAGCCAAACCCTGACCAGCCTGTCCATGACGTTGGGTATCAATTAAAATATCACTTCTTGGAAGGAAAAAAATGCAAATGGTAGGGATTTTCCTTCTTCGTCAACGACTAATAATATTTGAAGGCCCATTTTCTGCATTTTTCAATCATGATCATGGGTCATTGTGCTTACACAGTGATGAAATTGGACCAGAAGCATGCCAATTAGATCACCCATACGCTGTCTGCATGCGTGTTTGCTCTGACTGCCTTGACTACCACCCATTTAGTCCCCCC